AATACACTTTTCAAGTTTCTTAACATTTCTTTATAAACCCCCACGGTTGTCCTGTGTCCTTCAGGAAAATCTATCAAGATTTTTCTTTTGATAGATTAATCTTAAACAGAAACTTTACCTTCTGAACTGATCTCTCTGCCTTGAATTTGGCTGACCTAGACGATCTCTTTGGAAGCCACTGCTTTGATTGGGCTTTTTCATTTTTGAAGACTTCCTAAGGAGACTAAGACAGGTGTATTAGTAACAGAACTTGTGCGCCACTATCCACTAATCACAAATACATGTTTAAGTGTGTTTTGCTTGGAATAAACCTGTGTATGTATAAACTAGAACCTTAGTTGTTGTTGTTGTTAAGTGCCGTCGGAGAACCTTAGTAGCAATGGTTTTTTACTTACACTTTAGGCACTCTTTTATGAAGTTGTTGTTATTAAGTGCCATCAAGAAGGATTAGAATCATAGTGACCCTGTAATCTTTAGGGGAGCAGAAAGCCTTATCTTTGTTTTGCAGAGAGACTAGTGGGCTCACCAACCTTGTGATTCACAGTCTAATGCTCATCCGACAGAGCCACCGCTCTCCCCTCTACAAAATTTGAAATTGGAAAATGTAGCATAAGAGGGTAAGTCATAGAGACCTTATGACAGAGTAGAAAAGTTTAAACTTATAGAAAATATTTCTAACTCTCACTTCTCCCAATAACTATCCATATGCCTCCTTTAACTTAAATTAGCAGGCCTTTAGTCATGCGTTCCATTATTCCGATATGACCACATCCCTTGCACCTTTACCTTGGCAAAATTGCAAGGCATTCATAGTCTCTCAAAACAGAATCAGTTTCTATGATTTTTCTGATGTGAAAAATATATGACTGATTGGTGTGTATTTTGGAACATTTATTTTAATAGTGTGTTTGTATATCTTATATAATTTCTTTGAAATGAGGGAGACTACTTCCTCTACATAGGACTTACATATGTGTAGTCAGTACTGAATATTAGTTTTGCTAAATTGATGATATACAGTGGTTTTAATTCTTGTTTTACCTGCATGTATAGAAATGACAATGAACAAATGAGACATTAAATCACCTTTAATTATGTAATATTTACTTTGCAAATAATGACGCTAGACACTGTTTTTTTTTTTTTTTTTTTTTTTGGCTTTCTGGATTTTTTAATGATTAACTTGAAATATAAATACAATGAAAAAGTGAAGAATTGTTGGTGTATGTCACTTGTGTAGGGGTGAAAACAATCAAGGAGATTGGGGGCAATGGGGAAAAGCAGGAAGAGAGGTGAAGGAAATTAAGATAGGCATCAGACTAATTTTGTCAACCTAAGAAAACTAAACGAATAAATCATTGATTTTGCAAAATTCTATCATGCGATCTCCAGCATCATTTCTATCACCAAGGCCATATTTTCCAACTACTGATCCTTCCTCTTTGTACCCAACCTTTGCATTCCAATCACCAGTAATGATCAATATATCTTGATTGCATGTTTGATCAATTTCAGATTGAAGAAGTTGGTAGAATTCTTCTATTTCATCCTCACTGGCTTTAGTGGTTGGTGTGTAAATTTGAATGGTATTAATAGGTTTTCCCTGTAGGTGAATGGACATTATCCTATCACTAACAATTTTGTACCTCATGACTTATTTGGATATGTTCTTTTTGACAATGAATGCAAAAACCATTCCTCTTCAATTTGTCATTCCTTGAATAGTAAACCATGTGGTTATTAGATTAAAAATGGCCAGTATCAGTCCATTTCAGCTCACTAATGCCTAAGATATCGATGTTTATGCGTTCCATTTCATTTTTGACAATTTCCAATCTTCCTAGATTCATACCTTTTACAGTCTATGATCTGATTATTAATGGATGTTTACAGCTGTTTCTTTTTTGTTTCTGAGTTGTTTACCATCAGCAAATGAAGGTCCCATGAGCTTTACTCTCCCGGGCTTTACTCGATTCACATTATCATGGTCAACTCTACTTTGAGGAGGCAGCTCTTCCCCAGTCACATTTTGAGTACCTTCCAACCTGAGGGGCTCATTTTCTGGCACTATATCTGACAGTGTTTCTCTGCTATTCGTAAGGTTTTCAGTGATTAAATATTCAGAGTAGTTTGTCAAGCCTTCTTCCTAGTCTGTCTTCATCTGGAAGCTCACCTGAAACCTGTTCGCCATGGGTGACACTGCTGGTATTTAAAATACCGGTGGCATAGCTTCCAGAATCACAGAAACTCACAAGCCACCACAGTACACATACCTTATTTAGACAGCATAAGAGACGACTATATACAAGGACCTCACGAGATGGAATACACAGAAATCAAAGTGAGTACATCTGCGGAGAGAGACGATGGAAAACTCCATCTGATCAGTCAAAACAAGGCCAGGGGCAGATTGTGGAGCAGATCATCAATTGCTCATATGAAAATTCAGGCTGAAGCTGAAGAAAATGAAAACAAGTTCACAAGACCTAAAATATGATCTTGAATATATCCCACCTGAAGTTAGACATAATCTGAAGAACAGATTTGATACACTAAACACTAAAGACTGAAGACCAAAAGAGTTGTGGGATGACATCAAAGACAACATATAGGAAGAAAGCAAAAAATCATTGAGAAGACAAGAAAGAAGGAAAAGTTCAAAATGGATGTAAGAAGAGACTCTGAAAGTTGCTCTCCAGCATAGAGATGCTAAAGCAAATGGAAGAAATGTGGAGGTACAAGAGTTGAACAGAAAATTTCAAAGGTAATTTCAAGAAGACTAAGTCAAATCTTACAGTGAAATGTGCGAAAATCTAGAGTCAGAAAACCAAAAGGGAAGAACATGCTTAACATTTCTCAAGCTGGGGAAACTGAAGAAAAAAATCAAGCCTGAACTTTCATTATTGAAGGATTCTCTAGGAAAATTATTGAATGATGCAGAAAGCATCAAAAGATGATGGAAGGAACACACAGAGTAACTGTACCAAAAGGAAATGGTTGACGTTCAACCATTTCAAGAGGTAGCATATAATCAAGAGCCAATGATACTGAAGGAAGAAGTCCAAGGTGCATTGAAGGAATTGGCAAAGAACAAGGCACCAGGAATTGATGGAATAAAAATGGAAATATTTCAAGAAAGTGAGGCCTCATGGGAGACACTCACTCATCTATGCCAAGAAATCTGGAAGACAACTATCTAGCCAACAGATTGGAAGAGAGCCGTATTTGTGCCCATTCCAAACAGAGGTGACCCAACGGAAAGTGGAAATCATTGGACAATCTCTTTGATATCCTATGCAAATAAAGTTGTACTAAAGGTAATACATAAATGGCTGCAAGCATACATTGACAGAGAACTTTCAGAGATTCAAGCTGGATTCAGAAGAGGCCACAGAATGATCCGACAGATCATGGCTGAAAGCAGAGAATACCAGAAAGATGTTTGCTTGTTCTTTATTGACTATGCAAAGGCTTTTGATTGTGTGGATCATGACAAGCTATGGACAACATTGCAAAGTATGAGTATTCCAGAACACTTAATAGTGCTCATGAGGAATCTGTACATGGACAAAGAGGCAGCTGTTCAAAGAGAATATGGGAACACCAAATGGTTTAAAATTAAGAAAGGTGCGTGACAAGATTCTATTCTTTTACCATACTCATTTAACCTGTATGCTGAGCAAATAATCCAAGAAGCTGGGTTATATGAAGAAAAACATGGCATCAGGGTTGGAGGAAGACTCATTAACAACCTGTGATATGCAAATGATACAACCTCACTTGCTGAAAGTGAAGAGGACTTAAAAAAATTACTGATGAAGATCAAAGAGCACAGCCTTCAGTATGGATTACATCTCAATGTCAAGAAAACAAAAATCCTTACCACTGGACCAATAAACAACATTCTTACCAGTGGAGAAAAGATTGAAGTTGTCAAGGACTTCATTTTTCTTTGATCAACTATCAACATTCATGGAAGCAGCAGTCAAGAAATCAAACAATGTATTGCATTGGGTAAACCTGCTGCACAAGACCTTTTCAAAGTGTTGAAGAACAAAGATGTCAGCTTAAGGAGTAAGGTACACCTGACCCAAGCCATGTATTTTCAATAACCTCATATGCCTGAGAAAGCTGGACAATGAATAAGGAAGACTGTGGAAGAATTGATGCTTTTGAGTAATGGTGTTGGAGGAGAATATTGAAAGTGCCACAGGCTGCCAAAAGAACTAACAGATCTGTGTTGGAAGAAGTGCAGCCAGAGTGCTCCTTGGAGGCCAGGATGGCTGAACTTTGTCTGTCATATTTTGGACATATTGTCACGAGGGACCAGTCTCTGGAGAAGGATATCATGTTTGGTAAGGTGGAGGGTTCAAGCAAAATGGGAAGACCCCCAGTGAGATGGATTGGTAAAGTGGCAGCATCAAAGGGTTCAATCGTGGCAACAATTGTGAGGTTGGCCCAGGACGAGGCAGTGTTTCATTCTGTTTTGCCTAGGGTCACTATGAGTCGGTACCAACTCTATGGCATCTAACAACAAGAACACTAAATGGCCTTATTCCAATATAAGGTAGGTATTGTACTCAACATTTTACTTGAGAAAGTTCAAAGTGATGTTAGTTCTGGCTGATAAGTACAGGAGAGGATAATATTGATGTAAATATAGTGACATCTTTGCAATAAACAAAAATTAGGCTCTCTAGTACAATTAAAGGAGCTCTGGTAGCATAGTGGTTACCAATCACGCTGCGAACCACAAGGTCAGTAGTTCGAAACTACCAGCTGTTCTATGGTAGAAAGATGGAGGCTTTCTGCTCCCATAAAGATTTACAGCCTTGGAAACCCTGTACAGCGTCACTATGAGTCAGAACTGACTCCACACCACATAACCACCACCAGTACAGTTGAAACTAAATGGAAAATAAATATATGCTATTGATTTTAAATCAGATAACAGATATGATCCATTAGACATCTCCTATCTTTAAAGCACAAGATAGGATTTATTTTATTTCAGTTGTACAGAGACAGCTAGCTTTGCAGTATGTTCTAACCATCACGTGGCTACATCCAATCTTTTGTAGTCATAACTGACAGTTAATAAGTTCATCATCGTAGGGGCATGGATTAGCTGAAAGGAAATGGCAATGTTACATAATATTTCTCAAAAAAATCATAGTCACTGAGGAAAAAAGTCATCTACTTTATGATGTAAACATAAATTTTACTAACAGATAAGTAAATCTCATTGTTGTTGTGAAGTTCCGTCGAGTTGGTTCTGACTCATAGCGACCCTGTATAGGGTTTTTGAGGAGCAGCTGGTGAGCTTGAACTGCCACCCTTGCAGTTCAAATGGCTTTGCAGTCTGGCGCATTAACCCACAGCACCACACCAGGACTCCATTAAATCTCATTAGCAAAGGCTAATTAAATCTGAACTGAGTACAGGTGATAAGTTAAATGAGGTACATTATCTATCTAAAGAAGATAAAATTCTGATGTTGATATAAAAATTTTTTCTTTCATATAGATTTTTTCATTTTACAGTAGTATATCTAAATGGATTAGTAATGTATCATCTTTAACATATCATCATTTTGAAAACACCAGTGCTATAAACAATAGAAAATGAAGCAAGAAAAGTTTAAATTTTTATTAATTTATTGCAGTTAGTATATTTATTAAAGCCTTGGGATGAAGTAGTTGAATTTATTATTATTATTAAAAGTAATGTATGCTCAATGTGAAAATGAATAAAAAGTATTTGTAAAATATTATTTTAAAATCTCATATAATATCTTCATCTAAAAATGATCTCAGGTAACATCGCAGTGGTTTCTAATCTGTACAGAGACAACTAGCTTTGCAATATGGTTCACCTGTCATGTGACTACATCCAATACTTAGCCTACAAAGCCACTGCACTCCTGTCTTATACATGCAAATGCAGAAATACATATAAAATTCTTTAGTGATTTTGAAGATATAATCATTTAAAAATTGTGTTAAGATCTGTGAAAAAATTGAGTAAAGCCTTCTTTAACTTGAATTTCTCTAATTATCATAATTAATAAGTTACATAGTTTGAATACATATAAAGTCAAATGTAACTAGAATTTACTTCACTAACTCCATCCAGATTTTCTTAATTTAGTACACACTAATGCCAGGAGCCCTGGTAGTGTATGGTAACAGTTGAACTGTTAACGGCAGGGTTGGCAGTATGAATCCATCAGTAACTCCACAGGAGAAAGAGAAGATTTCTTGCTCCCATAAAGATTTATAGCCTTGGAAACCCTATATAGGGTTGCTATGAGTTGGAACTGACTTGACCTCACACAAAACAACAATTGGACCATAACAGTTTGGCATTAACTTTAGTTTTTTATATTATAACTCTTCTCTTTCAATTATAAATGATGTTCATTGTGTTTGGTTTACAACAAATTTATACAAAAATTTTCACTTGTATCTGTGTATGACTCTTTACAGTTGCATTTCTGTCGATATCTTTTGCATTTCTAAATTCTTAAATTTGATTAATTTGCCAGTAACCTGAAGAATGATTATGAAGGTTTATTGAGGTGTATCAGGGAAAAAGAATGTGAGTATCTTGTACTGCCTGAGTTCTTATGCATGCATATATGACAGCTCATTACTGCTGCTTGGCTCCTATGGCTAATAATTTGTCAAGGTAATCATTAATTTTTTTTTTTTTAAATCAGTTTCCCATCTATCTTCTGGTATTCAGCATTCTGAATAAATGTGATATTCTTTTTAGATGGTGTGCATTGTTTTTCTTTCACTCCTATATGATATCTCAATTATCTTTGTCTTCTATTTTTAATTAACACCATTGCCTTTAGATTTTGTAAGTGGAAATTGCTGTTTCTCAATTTTATTTGAAAGATGGAAAGTGGATTGGATCCACCTATCTGACTCTTACCATTTTAGCATTCATTCTGCTTTCGTAAGGCTGGTTTCGTCATTGTTAAGTTTACATCTCTTTCTTTAGTACCTCATCTTCTCAAACATTTACAGATGAGAAGAGCCATATGGTATGTATCTTTTATGACATATATCCTGGAGTATATTTTAATTCTATTATATTTTATCAAACCACTGTAGATTTTTTTCTCTCTCTCTTAAAAGTGTACACCTTCCCTATGCTCCATAGGATAAGCATGGTACTTTGAGCCACAAGATCGGCAGTTTGAGCCCACCAGCCAGGCTTTTTGTACTCTCAAAAAGATTTACAGCTTCAGAAACACTATACAGGGTAGCTTTGAGTTGAAACTGATGCCATAGCACTTAATAACAACATTCAAAGATAGTTTTTTTATTATTATTATTGATCATCTTTCTTTAGTTATATTACTTTAATACTTTATCTATGTATACATATATATATGAAGTTAAGTCACAAAATATTCTATTAGGGTTTCAGTTCATACATACAAGAGTCTAATTCAAATAAAATGTGTTTACACATGACTCTTCAATCAGTGGATAACTGCAGACAAGTTCTCTCAGAATTTTAATTGGCTTAGTCTCATTAAGGTGCCTTCAAAAAAATGTCCAGTCAAAACAGAAACTTCCGAAGAGAATGGCTTTGTTGTTGTTAAGTGCCATCAAGTTGATTCTCACCCATAGCGACCCTATATAGACTTTCTAAGGAGCAGCTAGTGAGCTTGTACTGCCAACCTTGCAGATCAAACCAACTTTGCGGTCCTGCACGTTAGGCCACAGCGCCACACCAAGAAACTGCTAGAACGGTTCAATTCAAGGCTGAAAGCTCCCACAGTTCTATTCTGCAACACATGAGATTGCCATGACTTGGAATTGACTTAACAGCAACCTTTACTTTTTTTAAGGTGTCTGGGTGAGAACTTGAGTTCTAGGCCTAGATATTCTAACTTCTGTTGCAATGGATTAAATAAATGGCCTTATTTATCACTCTGGGTAGTATGTGAGGATATAAAAAGAGATAATGTTCATCTTTTCTGTGGAAAACATTAAGATAAGATTTTAGAAGCGTGTAGTATTGTTAAATGCTTCAGTTAACAAACATATTACTCTCAGATCAACATCCAACTTTAAGTAAAGAGAATGTGTAAAACTTACTACAAAGTTTATCTTCACAGGCATCAGGACATTGACTACATGGGGCTCCCGCTTTATAAGGTTCAAGTAGGTGAACAAGATTTCCCCTTAATGAAGAAAAAGGAAAAAAAACAACAATGAGTCTAATAAAAATTCATTTTCACTCACTGTGAAAACCGATTTAAAAAATCAAATTGTATAACTGTCTTAGACAAGACCAGTGATACTATTTACTGTGAGATTACTAGATGTATAATAATGATACTTTTTTTTTCTTTTTAGAATGCACAACTTCTAACTCTGGATGTCAGAAAACAATTTATTTTCCAGACAATTTGCATCACTATCATGGGACTACTGTACAGTACATTACTAGCAAGTAGGATGCTCTAAGGACATTTACTGTGGGACATTATTCTGTATTTGTATCCCAAAGAACTTAGCAAACATCACTAAAGAGAGTTAATCATTTTGTTACTGCTGTTAAGTGCCATAGAGTTGTTTCCAACCCACAGTGACCCTGTATAGGGTTTCCAAGGAGTGATTGGTGAGTTTGAAACGCCGACCTTGAGGTTCAAACTGACATTGCAGTCCAGTGCATTATCCTACTGCACCACATCGGGACTCCATTAATGATTTTAGGTGAGTCATAGTTTGGTTATTTTTTCTTTTTGTACTATGCCATGATAAAATTTACAAACTTGTCTTTTGTAGAAAAACACAGAGTATATAAAACAGGAAAGAACATGGACACAAGTAAAAAGAATATGTTGAAGAAAGGGGGAAGGGAAAGAGGATAGTTGAAAATATCTAGCTCTGATCAAATTTGAAACTTTGGAAAAGACTGGTCTTACCATTACAGGTTTAAGGGCATAATATCTGATTCTTACTTATCAGATTAATTTTCTAGAAATTGTGACTTGGACTTGTGGTAGAATCTGTATCTTATAAATGTAAGATATAAAGAAAGACAACTATGAAAGTTGGTACTAACAAGCTAAATTGAGGGAAAAATACTTTTCTTTTAAAGTGTTCTTCCTTCTTGAGATTCTATTTGACTTCTTAAAATACTCTTCTGTTCTTGAAATAAATAAATATCCTTGTTTCTTTGAGGATCCACCTTTGATACCCTTAACTAATCATAATTTGAAGAATCAGTAGCACATAGCAAGACTGATAAACAGTTCTGAATTATTACATTTTATTAATGAGATACAGATTTATTTAGTAAGAATATAATATAGCTAGTTCTTACTTGGAGTCCTGGTGTGGTGTTGTAGGATAAGTACGGGACTGTAAGGTCAGTTAGAAAGAAGGGTCAGTAGTTCAAACCCACCAACCACTCCTCAGAAATTCTATACAGGGTCACTTTGAGTAGGAACCAACTGGACAGCATTTAGCAATAACATTGCTTACTTATTGATTATCTAGTTATCCAACATTTCTCATTTATAGCAACTTTGGAAACATTCCTAGGCAGTGCTTTTAATGGTCTGGGCCCAAGCGGGGTTGTAGCAAGTCTGGGTTGCCTTCTGCCAGCCACGTCAAATAATATACCAGAAGCCCTGGTGAGGACTGGGTACTGTGAAGGATGGCAACTAACTGGCCCTGGAATGCTTTCTCCCATTCATCCTTGATGTCTTGGCCATGCCACAGAGGGCTTAGGGAGACAAAGGATGACATGAGGTCGTGCTAGGGCATGATGATAAGACGGAGGTCGGTAGAAGAAGGCAGGAAGGTGGCTACCCATAGCTGTGGGGCTGTGGGGCTAGAGTGGGCCAATCAACACCCAACAACAACCATCACTACCGCCACCACCCTGGGACTCTGCAGTGATGGCGAATGCATGGTCTGGAAGGGGCGTGCTGCACCAGTGCATCCCAAGATACACTGGGTGGAGAACACCCAGTGGGCGACCAGCAAGGAGGGGTGCATGGACACTGAAGATTAGGCACAACTCTTCACTCTTACATAACACTGATTTTGGATAACAGCCTGGTATTTGGAATCTAACGTGTCAATAAATGAGAAGTGGGTATACAAAAGAAAAGTAAAATATAGATTCCCATGTATAGGGATGTGCATATTTGTATGTGCAATTTTTTCAGAGTTTGACTCAGTATTGTTACATATCTAATTGAAACAAAATATTTGAGTTATCTTTTTTAAGGGTCAAGCAGCTAGATAGTGCTCTTTAAGAAAACACTTTACTCAAAGCTGTAAGAAACCAAATTGTATAATACGTACTCATGACAATAGTGACAAATATAGAGAAATCTCTTTGACCTTCGTTGGTGACATAAGGTGACGCTACAGCCAATGAGATAAGAAGTGGCCCAAACAACCTGTAAAGTTAAAGAGATTATTTCATTATAGATTTAATATGTCAAACATGGATAAAGTATCAATATTACTATCCACAGTTGACCACTTGTTTACTTTTAAGGTTGCTTTGATCACAGATTATTATAAATTCATGGAAACAAAACGCTTCCTGTGTGTCAAGATAAACACAAATGTAAAGTTGGAAACAAGAGAGATCAGGCAGAGAAAATCAGACAGCCAGGGGGTCAGAGGAAGATGACTTGATGATTGGCTTGTTGTTAGCTGCCATCAAGTTGGCTTCCACTAACAAAACACTGTCCAGTCCTGTTTATTGTCAGTAAAAATCTGGTGATCTTTGGGTAAATGTTGAGAGTTGGAATGTATTTCCTGTTTAAAAATCTTAATATTGAATTTCTCTAGAATTTTAGAGGTAGGTAGGGATAGGTTGTAGATAAAACAACAAGAGATATTTTTTTACCAAGTGATTATTTGGCAATGACTAGACAAAGGGGAGACTTGAATATTACCATAGATGTTCCTGGGACTCATTTCTCAGATTTTATTATGTAGCATATTCAGGATGACCAGAGCCTTGTGGTAATATTCCCTAACTTAGTCACACTGGTATTAAAGTCTACTTTTAAAAATTCTTAGTAAGACATATGAAAGACTTTAATTGACCCTAATCTTTTTCTCTTTCAGGTCAAACCTGTGTTGAAAATCAAGAAAAAGAATGCTGAGTAGTAGTATAATAAGCAAATCATAGCAGTAACATTTTCTTGTGGATAAGGGGGGAAAAAAAAACAACATATAATACTGAGCTCAATATTCAGGGCAAAGTGATCCATATTCACATTCATGTCTACCATTTCTTGGATTACTGAGTCAGTTCTGACTCATAGTGACCTGGTATAGTGTTTCCAAGGAGTGGCTGGTGGGCTTGAACCATTGACCTGGTGGTTAGCAGTCCAGTACTTATCCCACAGTGCCACACCAGGAGTTCAAATATTAAAAACAATTTTTTCTTAATATTTATAAATAATGAAATTTATAAAATAAAATATAATTTTATTTTAAATATTGGTGATGAATGACATCTATGAAATGAAATAAGTTTTATTTTTAATATAGTAAAATATTAAAAAGAATCGAATACTAAAATTTATTTTTTAGTTGTAAATAATGAAAAAGATCATTCCTACTCCTTTTACAATGCAGCCATTCCCATTCTCTCAAGGTTTTTTTTTTTATTTTTTTTATTTTAATTTCTGGTTGTTATAGAGAATATACACACAAGAATAAACACCACTCTACAGTTTCAACATGTACAGTTCATCACATTGATTAAATTCCTTATGTTGTACAACCATTCTCACTTTTCCTCCCTAAACTGTTCCATCCCCATCAACATAAATTTTTTTTATTTTGCTCAGATCAACCATCAACACTCATGGAAGCAGCAGTCAAAAAATCAAACTTATTCCATAAGGCAAATCTGCTGTACAGGACCTCTTTAAACTGTGGAATAGCATAGACATCAGTTTGAGGACTAAGGTGTGCCTGATCCAAGCCATGGTATTTTCAGTAACCTCATATACATGTGAAAGTTGGACAGTGAAAAAGGAAACCATAGAAGAATTGATGCATTAGTGTTATTGTATTGGAGGAGAATATTAAAAGTGCCATATGCCAAAAGAACAAATAGATCTGAATTGGAAGAAGTACAGTCAGAGTACTAATTGTAACCCAGGATGGCCAGATTCCATCTCTCATACTGTGGATACATTGTCAGGAGGGGCCAGTCACTGGAGAAAGATATCATGTTTGGTAAAATGGAGGGTCAAAGAAAAAGAGGAAAACCCCCAACTAGATGGATTGGCACAGCGGTAGCAGCAATGGGCCCAAAAGTAGCAATGATTATAAGGTTGGTGCAGGACCTGGCAATGTATTATTCTGTTGTGCATTCAGGTCGCTATGAGTCAGTACCAACTCAATGGCACCTAACAACAACAAGTTTCTTATCTAATCTTTTCAGTTTCTATTTCTAATATAATTCCATTTAGTCTACCCAGGTGTTTGTTTTTTGTTTTGTTTTGTTTTTGTTTTCACATTTAAGTTGAATTTACAAAAAAATTTCAATAAAAATATAATAAAAAATCTTATTACATATGCCCAGAGTATATGTTATTAACATATTGTCCCATTTGTTTTATCTTTCTGTATAAATTCATACATTTTTTTGATCTCTTTGAAGGTAATTATGACATTATGACAATTATTAGTATGTCCACAAACGTTGCTTAATTATATAAGGACATTGTCCTACAGAACCACAATGTCATGGCCGTATCCTGGTGTATCACTAGACAGCTTATCCAAAAATCTGTGGTACAAACCCACTAGCTGCTCCTCAGAAACCCAATACAGGATCACTAGGATTCGGAAATGATTTAATGGTAGTTAACAACAGCAGCGTCAACAATAAGATTGATGATTATATGGCTTTTGAGAAAATCTAATAGGTAAAGAAAGGGACTAGTATAAGTTGAGTATTCTCTCTGAGCCATATACTAAAAGAACCACATTTCTTTTAGTTCCAAATTATAAGAAGAATGCAGTAAACTGATTGTAAGTTTGCAGTTATGTGGTAGGATGAATTCCAACTGCTTCTACTTACCTTTTTGTCACATCCAGTCACTTAACAAATATTTGTGTTTGCCAGTGCCCAGGTTACCTGAGTATAATGGTCAATCCTTTTATTTGTTCTGTTCAATATCCCATAGGTGAAGTATTGTGACTCATCATACCAGATTCCAATTACATCTGACCATGGTATAGAAGAATATGTAAACAATATATTTTCTCCACAGAATTTCTCTGAAAAGAGGAAAAATAATTGGTTCCTATTCTATAAAACTTGGCAGTATTAAACAAAGATACATTCCTCATTTTTGTTTTACAAAGACTTCACTGATTAGCATATCCTGGCAATGTCTTATATGAGGAAGCAAACTCAATTGTGTCTCTGTTGTCATAGTGTTCCTTATTAATGAATTAGTATACAGTGCTCATGTTTGATTGAAAAAGGGGGTCCAGAAAAGAGGATTAAAACCTGAGCCATTTACTGATTAACATACTGTGACTAATATCCTTGATGAATTCTGAGGGCTGTGCCCCTCACTGCTTGAACAACTGTGAAGATGTGCAGAATGTTCCTGGTGTGCATAGCTGAGCAGTCCACCTGCAAATGAGTAAGATAAGAATGTTTCATGGTTGTATAAGGCCATTACTGTAAAACCTTAAAAAAAGATACTCACACTAAAAGGG